ATGATATCTGCACCACGCTGCTCACCTTGGATTACGAAGCTTTTACTGTTCTCGCAGCTCTGACCCAAAGCTCACATTCTTATATTAACTATACCTAGACCCCAACCCCGAGAACTCATTCTAGTGGAAGTGGCTCGTACTCAGATCAACAAGAGTCGGAACAACTCCCCTAAGCCCCGAATTCAGCCCCAACCAAACCCTAGAACCCCAAACCTCCAAAGCGCAGATCTAGAAGCCTATGTTCAGAAAAAGCCATGAAGCCCGAATAATACCAATTCCTCTACTATGATCATGATCATTTGACCTAACTGAGGTTAGGATTCATCTCTGCGATTCGCTCGGCCTTGAAATTGAAAGCCCAAGTCGGCATGGCCACCATTGGTGTTCCATGCAACAGCTATGTCTTCATGAATGCAGCAACTTCTGGTCGCAGCAGAGACGAGCCATTAGGAAATGAAGAGCTGGAGTATGTTCGCACTTCGAACAAGTTGCTTGGAACAATACCCTATACGTTGATATGGGGTAGCTGCCCGTTACCCTCTCTCTCTCTCTCTCTCTCTCTCTCTCTCTCTCTCTCTCTCTCTCTCTCTCTCTCTCCTCTCTCTCTCTCTCTCTCTCTCTCTCTCTGCTTCTCTCTATGTGTATGTATCTCTCTGTCACTCCCTCCCTCCCTTCCATAGCTATGTTTCAGACCATGCTGCCACCAATAAGGATCTGTGCCAGGGTATTCCTCATCCTGCTCTTGATGACGGTCCGCCAAACCTTCTTTATGCTGGAACAGCCGGCATCGTCACTCTTGGAGTGGTCACCATATATGAGGCACGTCTTCGAGACTTTGAAACGGTTCATGCCAATCCATCGTACATTCTTGCCGTTGCCCCAGGATGCATGCAATACACATGTGCAGTGCTTGTGCCTCTCCTTTGTTTCCCTCTCCCTCTCCGTCTCCCTCTCCCTCTCCCTCTCCCTCTCTCTTCTCGTGGCTCCGTTTTGGGAACGCCTGTTGTTGTTGTGGTCTCTCTTCTCGTGGCTCCGTTTTGGGAACGCCTGTTGTTGTTGTTGTTGTTGTGGTCTCTCTTCTCGTGGCTCCGTTTTGGGTCTCTCTCTCTCTCTCTCTCTCTCTCTCTCTCTCTCTCTCTGTCTCTCTCTCTCTCTCTCTCTCTCTCTCTGTGCCTCCTGTCCATCTAAGCTGGCTTGGTTCCTGGGGCCACTTCAGCCCCAAGGGCTCCCTGGCCTTTGGGACACTGTCTCCCTGCTGAAATTATGTAACATTCGACTGGGCTGGGGCCTTGTCAGCTGCAGGTGTGAGTTGTTACTGAGGGGTGGGGTTTCCAAGCTCTTCAAGAAGCTGACGCACAAACGGCGGCTTCGGCTGGGCTTGACCTCGAATGGTGTGTCTTATAGACGAAAGAACAAGTATGGGAAGACGGTGGTGCAGGGGGCCGAGCTCATCATCGTAGCTTATATAATGAGTCCTTTCTGATAAAACCTGGATCCCTGCTGGCTCTCCCAAGGACCGGTGGGCCCAAGCTAAAGCGAACTGCTGAGTACCCGCAGAAGTTTTGCAACAAGGTCCTGAAGCTACACATGCAGTTCGTTGAATCTGGGCAGCATGAGTTGCTATATGCTGTTGCAGTGCCACAACATGAACTTAATCAAAGGAGAAATCTGGACACAAGATCGTGCAGTGGCTGCAAGATGGTCGGGATCTCCTTGCTGCCGGCCCAAAGGCAGGATCTATTGGCGCAGTGGGGTGGTACAACTTAAACCAATTGTGTTTCAAGTGCTTGCCGCCAGGTCCCGAAGCCACTGGATTGGGTGCACGCCGAACTCGGAGAGGTTCTTCAATTCCTGCGGCAGGAGGAGCAAGCAGGGCGTTTCAAGCCGCTGTCTCGCCTGTGAGTACTAGCTTATAGGTGTTCTGCACACTTAAAGTGTGGCTGTGACATTTAATTCCATGAGGGCTCCTTTAATTCAGCGAAGTTCACAGATGATCTTTGGGCCTCAGGCCTAATTAGTTGTTGTTCTGGAGCAGAATATGCTGCTCTGAGCAGAAGAATCCAAGCGCAATTGGACACGCACCACAGCGTGAGTAAAGCGTGAGTGGAGCGTGAGTGGGCGTGAGTGCTTATATAGCCACAGTCATAGGCTGTGTGCAACCACCCCGGAAAACCGTGAGCAAAGCGTGACTTTAGCGTGAGTTGTCGTGAGTGTCTTTTATGACCATTGATTGGCTCCTTGATCTAGGACCTTTGGGAAGGAATCCTTACCATGCTCTGCAGTTGCACTTATGTTGATTTGTGGATCATCTGCAATATAATGTACAGTGTACTTAGCTAAGTCTAGGAAAGCCCGGCCCCTCCATCATGGCCTCGGCAGTGAGTGAAGCTCTTGCACGTGCAAAAGCCCTGAGGGCAAAGGCCTTGAACCAGGGCCCACCGATCGAGGAACCGGAGGTGCCGCAGACTGCCAAGCCCTCAACGCAGCCTTTGAAGCGAGAGCTGCCCACACCGGGCCGACGACCCGTCAAGCGAGAGAAGAAGCCAAGCCCAAAGCCGACGTCGAACCAGGCCAGCACAAGGGGAGTGTTCATGTATGTTCGTGCTCGATCTAGATCTAACTATAACTACTATCTATACTAGCATGATGTGCCCTGTCCTGGCAGGCCGTGGGTCCGGCTCCAGGAGTTGCAGACATCAGCCAGGCAGGCTGCACCTGGGATTCTCCAAAGTTCCACTATATATCTTCCCTAGACCCCAAACCTTATCCCTAAGTCGCCAAACTAGGTATACTTATTCTCATCAGGGTTGAAAAGGGGTGGCTGTTTTTTGGGGGGGAGGGTGGAAACAAACATCTGACCTACCGGAGGCTTTCCACACAAGGCCTTATATTGGGTGGGGGTTTACGGGGTTTAGGGTCTAGGGCCCAGGGTCTAGGGTTGGGGTTAGGGTGTCGGGTATTTTTGCAGTTCGCTTGCAGTGAAGTTTCACCAGGCTGGGATCGATGAAAGGATGAGTGAAGCTCCAGAGGCATCCCATCCTGAGGCCGAGCATTGCATGTCACTTGAGTGTTTTTTGCAAGCCTGGTGCTCCCGAGTAATCTGGATACTCTTCATGCACGCAGGATATACTTAAACTTGGGTCCCAACAGGATGATGACAAAGATGCAAAGACTGATGCTCCACAGGAAGACAATGATCAGGCCCGGCCCATGTGGTCTCATGTATGTGTATAGAACTGAACCTCTAGGTAAAACCAATGCAAAGCCATGTCTGTGGCCTCAGGATCAAGTGCACATGGAAGATGATCAGCGGGGGCTCAATGCTCAAGAGCCTGAGGCCTGGTGTGGGACCACACATACATATATATGTGCATAACATAACATAATTTAACTAGTATAGATATTATATCGGTTATGGCATGACAATATATATATATATGTAGCATACAGCCAATGATCGGACATGCAACATGAAGTGCTTTTGCATGTACATATGCATACATACATATACATAGCATGTGTTCCTATACATATATATGTATACTACATACATACATACATACATACATACATACATACATACATACATACATACATACATACATACATACATACATACATATACATACATACATACATACATACATACATATATACATGAATATGCATAACATATACATGCACATTATACATGTAGAGGGTTTTTATAAACACATACCCCGATTAATAACTGCATGCTTCGTAGCCTGAGTCTATACGACACATCCAAAATGTTGTTCCATCCATGCGAGAGCTCTTGCTGCCGGAGGCTGCTGAAGATGGCTATCGTGAGCAAGGCTTCTCCGAGGCTGACACGTTGGAGTATCGGCAGCTTGCGAAGTTTCCTTCGACACAAGTGGAGGAATGGGACTGGAAGGGGAATGATTCATGGGGCTCAGGCTACGGTGTAGCTTGGTCGGCTTGGAATGATGATCAGTGGGGCTGGGGTTCTTGGGGCTGGAGCTCTACCCCTGGGTGGTGGAGCAAGCACCAGGATGATGACAGGTGCAAAGAAGCTGAAAGCCCAGGCCCACAAAGCACCCAGCAGACCCCGCAGAAGCAAACTGAGTCGCAGCCCCGCTCCGGCAGCACAACAAAAAGCCCAAAAAGCATTGAGAATGCACATGCATTGAAGCGAGCCACAACGATGTCTTCGCAGCCTGCAACCCCAGCAACCTCTCCTTTGAAGGCCTCGCCCTCTGTTCCAGCTACCCAGCCGTCCCCAACCACCTCCCCTGCAACAACAGGCCAGAACAAGCGCAAGCATGGTGACACAAGCCTCAAGAAGCCTGAGAAGGATGTGAGCACAGGTTCGCCGCAGGAGCAGTGGGCATCAATTCAGGATATCTTGCAACGAGGCCACACAGTGGACCGCCTCAGCGATGATGAACTCGCTGAGGTAGTTTTTCAGATCGACCGATTGAAGAAAAGCCGTTCGATGCCCGTACAGGAAACTGAAGCACCGACCCAGCAGGGACAGGAGGCACAAAAGGAAAAGGATGAGTCGCAGGCAACCGAAGCAGACAAGAAAAAGAAGGAGTCGCAGGCAACCGAAGCAGACAAGGAAAAGATGGAGTCACAGGCAACCGAAGCACAGAAAGAAAAGAAGGAGTCAGAGGCAACCGAAGCAGACAAGGAAAAGAAGGAGTCACAGGCAACCGCAGCACAGAAGGACAAGAAGGAGTCACAGGCAACCGAAGCACAGAAGGACAAGAAGGAGTCACAGGCAACCGAAGCACAGAAGGACAAGAAGGAGTCACAGGCAACCGAAGCACAGAAGGACAAGAAGGAGTCACAGGCAACCGAAGCACAGAAGGACAAGAAGGAGTCACAGGCAACTCGAAAAGGCTGGGGCAACCAAAGCAGAGGAGCAGAAGGACGGAGATCCCAAAGGCAAGCAAGAATTGACACCGGAGCAGGAGGCAAAGCTTGCACTGAAGAAGAAACTCCATGCACGCTACATGAGATTCAGTCGATCTCTCACCAGCTCCTCGGCAAGCCAGTTGTGTATGGGTATATACATATGTGTGTATATATATATATAGAATCCTACAAGTGGCTGCCGAGGCCACTGGACTTCGCTGCTGTGAAGTGAAACCTACTTGTACGAGAATTGTATGCAGACCTTCCTATATGTTTCAGTCTAGAGGAGAGAGAGATAGAGATAGAGAGAGAGAGAGAGATGGATAGAGAGAGAAAAAGAGAGAAGGGGAGAGTCGAAGCACTCGAGAAGTAGCTCAGGTGGCCGGACACCGAAGGAAGTGAGGAAGCTGGCTGACAGAGACCTGGATTCTGATCAGAGAAACTTCTTGTTCGAGCATTGGCTTCAGGCCAACGAGAACTGGAACGCATCCAAGCTTTTGGTTACCTTGAAGAACAAGTCCGGGAAAAAGAAGGTTGGACTCCGAAGGTGGCTGACAAAGGCCGACCTTCTGCAGAAGTACAAGGACGAGGAGGTGGTACAGGCCATCATAGATGCAAAGGTGAATGACAAGGAGCTGTGCAAGACACAGGTGAGGAACCATCCTGATTGCCCTCATCGCGAAGATCTCAAGCAATACCTATGTGTTGTAGATGATAGCGAGGAAAACTACGAAGGGGAAGAAGTGGAACACACGTTCGAGATGGACAACGATCTCGACGAGTCGAGCTCCGACCAAAGCAGTGACGAGGATGGTCAGGAGGAGGATGAGGAAGAGCAGGAGAGCAAGAAGCCAAAGAAGAAAGGAAAGCCCAAGCAGCCGAAGAGTGCGAAGAAGAACAAGAAGAGCAAGAAAAGCAAGAGCTCCCCCAACAAGAAAAACCGTGCCAAAGCCAAGGGCAAAGCAAAGCCAAAAGGGAAAGCCAAGGCTACTGAATCATCACTTGTTTGTGTTTGGTTTCCACCCTACACTCTACACCCTACTTAAACCCCCCAATGCCCTGAACAATTATATAATGCCAGGCCAAACAGCCAACCGGCGGAGACGATGGAGAAGACAAGCCACTGAATGCAAAGGAGATGAAAGGCAAGGCCAGGAAGGTGGGAGCCCATATCCCTCATAAGTCTTCCCCCTGAGTTTCCAGAACCCTAAACCCTTACAGTCATGAGCCCCGAACCCTTAAATTGCAATGCTCTGTGCTAGGCAGTGGACAAAGCCACGGACAAGCTCCAAGCAGTACGAAAGTGCCAGGACGTGGAATCGTCAGAGAATGTGTGCTTGACTCAGATATCTTGCAAAACCATACATGTCATCAAACCGTTGCCTTTTTGTTTGGTCCAGGGGTGACAAACTCCTGAAAGCCATGAAGGACGATGTCGAAGCCCAGGTGCAAGCTATATACACATTCTTAAAGTTTCCCAAACCCCACGACCTTATGACACATATCTGATCGATCCGAAGGCCTCGCTCATCCGGACGGAGAGAGCAGATCTGCAGCGATTGATGGATGAGTCCGAGGCCAATAATTTCCTTAGGTGGGTGTTGAGATCGGTTTGGGGTTTATAGGATTTCAGAATTGGAGGATCCGTGATCGTTTTAGAATAAGGTTACAATTATACGGGCTCTTTTCGTGCAAGTGTTTTTCATCTGCTTGGCTGTATAATAAAGTACCCAATATATAAACTTTGTAGCCCAACCATGTCTAAACCCCTATATATTGTTGCTCAATTATCTACAATATTATATAACACCGATTGGTCGAGTGACCAGGCTTTTTTGGGAGTACTTCGAGTGATTTGAATACGTTGAAGACATTACTCTGTATCCCCTCCGGGAATTTCGTAATAGAGAGTGATTAGTCTAAGATGGCATCTGGTCTGTAGTGCAATCATCGGGCTCCCCACTGAGATTGTGGCTAGCCTCTATATTGTTGGTTCTCAATCTCACCTGCAGAGGTGGCATCCATGCCGAGCGCCGTGGACAAGCTGACCACAACGTGTGACAAGTTTGATAAGATCACCAAGGAGTTCTGGAACAAAGTGAATGGCAAGTCGACTAAGAAGTGATGTGAAATGTGAACCGTAGCTGTGCATGTAGCTTTGTAATACTTGTGATTCTAGACTAGATGCTATGATGTTTACTTGCCAGCTTTCTTCATTTCAAGGCTGTGCCAGGGTGAACCTTGGCCACTGTGATTGTTGTGCCTGCCACTTTGTACATAGCAGAAAACTCTTGATGTTGCAGTCTGCGGGATGTGATGCTAGTTGAACATGTAACTACTGGACTCAAAACCCATAAACCCTGAACCCTTAAACCCTATATATATATATATATGTGTACGTAGTTAGTTCATCACTCTTTGTCACCCTATAATAATACTAAATCAGGAGTACCAGGTGCATGGTGGCAGCCACAGGGGCCCGGATGTAGCAGCACCGGCAGCTGCTCAATGTGAGCTGTGTACACGGAGCACCTCAGATCTTTCAATGCTGATACAATCCCTCTAGAGCCTGCTGCTGCAACGAGCTGTGATGCTGAGGTGCCATGGGAGGTATGCAGTGCATTCTAGATCTAATGCTGCCATAGGCTGAGTCTGGGATCCAGTTTTGGTGGAGTTTTACGAGAAGCTTCGCCCGTGAAAAAAATCTTTGCAACTGGAAGCCCTGGACCACAATATTGACAATACCCAGCAGAGCCCCTCAACAAAAGGCCACCCACATCCTTCGACCCTGAAACGCAACATTTATTTCCTGAACACTGAAACCAAGCACTGGGAGGGATTTGCGAAGCACATGCCAGGTGAAGATGTCGATAAGGATACCGATGGCTTGCTGCAGCATATGTACAACAAGATATCCAGTGGAGAGCCTTGGCTTCCAAATGTGCAGTCAAGGCACAATGTATTTCGGAGGCATGCTGCCTGCAATATGTCCTCAGCCCAGGCTTCCAGTATTGATGCAGCTATGAAAGATGCCCAAGCTGGTTTCCAGGACATCGATTCGGGTGCAATGTTGCATTGTTGTTGGCTCGATCAATATCTAATATACCTTGCCATGCCTGTTCTGATCAAGGACACCCAGAAGTTCTTCAAGGGCAAGACTATTAAATCGTTGATGCGGTTCAAGCCTGGAAATGCTGCACGTGACTTCTTCAAGACTGTGAAGCTTCCTCTGGTGCCCAGCAAGAAATTAAATAGCAGGGGGCATAGAAAACATAAAGAGGTTAAAACTATATATAGCTGCCCACCAACCCATGCGCTTCCCAACAGCTAGCCGTACACCTTCAAGTAATACGGTTGACCTACCCACAAACCACCAACCCCCCTAATCCCCAAAACACCACCCCATAACCCCAAGCCCTGAAGCTGTAAACCTTCAAGCCCCAGACCCTAAACTCCCAGGCCCGACAACCGCAATCCCCTAAGCCCTGTAGTTAGCACCCGCTGTCTAGAGCAGGAGCCTACACCAGTCAAAGTTCCTGTCTGGGAGTATGCGGATGGTGAATGGAAGCAGGCCTCAACTACGGTACCGGTACTAGACATACATGAGATTCTGAGCTACGTTCATTGTGAGCTGGGATTGCAAACCCCGCCGGAGAAGGTCAAAGAATACTGGGCACACCTGTGCAGCCACGGTGTTCCCTTTGCCACTCGTCACCCTTCTACACATGCAAACGAGCCGTGCCGACATTCCCACATACCGTTCTCACTTTATGGAGATGAATGCCAGCTGTCAGCAGATGGTTCGGAGAAGGTGACAGCCATGTTTGTCTCCTTAACTCTTTTCCGACCCAAAGAGGTTAGGCTTGGACACTTTATGGTTTTTTGTATGAAGGACGAGTTCATGGTTCACGAAAACCTTGCGACCCTGAGCCCCATTCTGAAGCACATTGCCTGGAGTTCGAATGTGGCCTTTGATGGCAAGTTTCCACAATGTGGGCCAATGGGCGAAGCTTTGTCATCTTCGAAGATGGCCCGGGCCGGGGATTTCCTGGCGCACGGACGGGCATTCGCTGCTTGTGAACTTCGGGGAGATTGGAAATGGCATGAAAGGACACTTCGGCTGCTTCACACTCCTACAAGCACATGCTGCTGCCTGTTCTGTGGGGCTGAAGCTTCTGATGAGTCCCCGCTTCGATATTACGAGACTGGAGAGTCTGCAGGCTGGGCTTCCACGATTGCTACAACAGCAGACTTTTTGCTTCACAAAGTTCGGCCTGGATGCTTGAGTGACTTGGACTGCATGTCTAAATCCTGCTACCAACCTACTATAAGTATTCTATTCTAATAACTGGACAGTGATCCATGAGGTCCTCTGTCATTTCTCCGTGGGTTCGATATATCCATGGTCAAGTTCTGTAGCATGCATGTGAACAACCTGGGCCTCACCCTTACAGCGAACGGTGGAGCAATGAAGGCATTAATGGATGCTGGTGTATGGGGTGATGCAGCTGTTGTATCAGAGGATGCACAACTGGATAAAGCTTTCCAAGAGTTCAAGGTTTGGAAGAAAACCAAAGGAGTTCCATGCAGCCAAAAGCGGTTCCGGCTTACACGACTGAAGAAGGAATCGCATGGATACTATTTTACAAACAAGGCCTATAACAGCAGAATCCTGCTCCAATGGCTGTCTGAGACGTGCACACTCGAAGCTGCCCGTGCACATCCTAATCAGTCCGAGCTGGCCCTCCATGCGGTTGCACT